TTCAAGCAGCCAAACAATAGAAGCTTGACACAGAACAGAAAAAGTACCATGGATGAAAAAAGGCAACAACAAAGAAGAAACTGCTACCAGTTTGGCCAGCTAGCTCCCATTAGATAGAGGAAAAGAGAAAACCGCAAATATAAAGCAAAACTTAGCACATAAATAAAACAAAACTATCGGAACAAATGGAACACATGAAAGTAAACAAATGAAGCTCCTTTTTGCTCATAAAGACGCCACATGCTGAGGGCAGAATCCCTGCCAACAATAAGTGTGATTTCATTCCTCGACCTGTCCTCACCCTGCTCTCAGTGAGCAGAGTGTAGAGGAGGGCAGAGCTGCGGGGGGGTCTGTGTTATAAATGACCGCAGAGGATTAAGAACATCGGATGGCTGGAGACCAAACAGACCGCCTGGAGTCATTTGTCTCCTGAAAGAACCAGATCCCAAACAGAAGAGACAGACTGAGACTTCTGTCAGCTCAGGTCATGAATTACATGACGACTGTGCTTTGGCAACACGTCTGGGTTCATTTCTCACAAATCCAGTTAGCTTTGTAAGGTTGAACCAGGAATTCAAAAGATTTTCCAAAAACCACATATGACGAAATGTTGCATTTGTGATGATTTGTATTTGCACAGGAATTAAGTAGGAAACAATCAAGCCTTTGTGAGCTTTGAGTGAGAGGTGGGTGTCGCCACAGGTCACTAGCCGTTAGCCGTCTGCTGCTTCAACCTTGTGCTCCTCCATTGACAAAATCACTCATGTATCTGTGGCTGTTGAAATGAGACTCTCATTAGCACCTAGCTTGACAGCTGTGAGTACTAACAGGAGCCATGCTCACTGTTTATGTCCATTATGATATATTTAACAATAATCCTTTTGGGGGAGTGGCTTTCTAGATTTCTCTTAAAAAAGATACTTTGAAAAATATGGCTTACTTTTTCCTGCTTCTACAACGTTACCTTCCAAATATTTAGGCACTTCACCTTGGTTTTAGATTGCTAATAATAACTTTAAGGTGGTGTCCCACACTTCATGCTGCAGGGAGAACGCTTATACCTGCTCTTTGTATATTCTTTTTTTTTTATTTGCAAGGTTTCTTGATATATGGGAACGACTTAGGCCATACATTCCATATTGTGTAGACAAATTCAAATCATGGCCCTGATTAATATGTTTGTTTCTCTCTATGGTCAATCCTGGGCTCCCTAAAAATCACAAAGATTTCAAAATCATAAATCTTAAGACGTGACTGCATCGAGTTACAGTATATAATGGTACAAATAATATTGGCTGAAACCATCATCTGCTTCAGTCTCCAGGGTCTTGTTTTGTGCATTTTGGGACACTGTCACAGTAATGACTTCCTGAAACACTTAGTAGAACAGAGCCACGGTTAATGTTACAAGTGACACTGGCGCTTTTCCAGTCCGCTCATTTACATATTTTACTGCCTTTTTATGCTAGTATTTGTTTGATAATGTAGTTAATGATACTGGTCAAAGTTCTATTTGGTAAGGTTTTAGCAAAACAATCCCTTTTATTTGTCATTGGATACAGAATGAGTCATGTAAAATGAAGTGCACTTAAAATAACAGAGGATCAACCGCATAGTCATTTTTCCAAAGTATACAAATAACAACCTGAAAAAAACATTTTTGAGAGAAATGAACAAAAAAGATTTAAATAGTCTTCTTGCAATGCTCACTTGATGATACCAGAGGAATGAGGGGTTTGTTTAATGTCACATTACCCATAAAAAGTATTTACCATAAAAGTAGTGGAACATTGCTATGTGCTGGTGCGGTGCCACCAAGCACCATATAAGAACATGTCTCCACTTCCTGCTGTAAACAATGGCAATGTGCAAAAGAGAGGGGACCAGCATGTTCATAGCTAATGCTTACAAACAGACCAGGCTGCAATATGTACAACCTGGCCGGGAAGAGTTTCCACTGGGTCAGAATCTGGGAGGCTTTGTCAAGTCTTCATCATATTTGGCTTACTGGATACAAACCAAATATTGATATAACAGTTTTGATTTTTTAAATTAATATATTGCAGAGTAGTTGCATTACTTTCCACACCTTTCCAAGTGGAATCTTAGCACCTATAGTTAATAATATCAATTTGACATGGGAATAAAGTTTTGCTAATCCAAATTAATTAATGCCACTGTTTAGAAGAGTGTAAAGCATCCTGCAGAAGCCTTCCAGTTGACCGAAGTGGCAGATAACAGTAACAAACACTTAGAGAAAAAGTGGCATCTGTTTGACATGACTTTCCACATCAGTCTTGCACAAAGTATTCACTTTCAAAACAAGCAGTGCAGTGGCTCTGGAAGATGAGAAGCTTTATGCAGGGATCAGAATCCGCCCTGAGGATGTTGTTTTATGTTGGCTCTCTCTCTTGTCTTCTCATTAGATGATGGAGACATTAGCAAACAAGAGCTCTGTTCTCCAGAGGAAAGACATTAGAGTCGTGGGACAAACATCCATCAATTGGGTTGCTGCCAATTGATGGAGGTTAGGCAGCAGTGTGTTCTGAATTTGAGGGGCCTAATGTACGACTAAATGCTCCTATATTCAATCTTAAAGGGGCCCTATTCTGCTTTGTGGGCTTGTCCTTTCCTGTAGTGTGTTATATAGGTTTTTGTCTATGTAAATGGTCTGCAAAGACTAACATCTCAAAGCTCAAAGTTTCTCTCTCCCTCCTGCATGAAACACCTCCATTGGACTCCTTTGTTTACTTCCGTAACATAATGACATCATTATGTAACAATTGCGCCTCTATTGGCTAGCGCTCCAACACATTGTACATGACAGGCTAAGGGCGGGACATCTCTAAGCAGTTGATCAATCACAAAAGAGCTGGGAATCCTATTAGAGCAGACAGGGCATTAAAGCATAGAAAGACTCAGTAGAGACACACAATACTAATATGAACCTGACAAAGAATAGAATATGGCCCCTTTTGATCAAACATGCTAAAAAAGACCCAACAAGTTTCTGTCTGCTCTGACGCAAAGCACAGCTGAAAGGGATTCATGACATGGCAGGATTCAGACTTTCATTCTAGGGATTTCAAAACTTGGAAAAGCGATGAATGGTGTCCGTGAGATGAGATGTCAGAGAGGGGCCAACAGATAGACGAAGTGTGTGTGTGTGTGTGTGTGTGTGTGTGTGTGTGTGTGTGTGTGTGTGTGTGTGTGTGTGTGTGTGTGTGTGTGTGTGTGTGTGTGTGTGTGTGTGTGTGTGTGTGTGTGTGTGTGTGTGTGTGTGTGTGTGTGTGTGTGTGGTGTGTGTGGTGTGTGTGTGTGTGTGTGTGTGTGTGTGTGTGTGTGTGTGTGTGTGTGTGTGTGTGTGTGTGTGTGTGAGATATTTGACCTCCTCAGAACATGTATTTACTCTCTGGCGGTTTGTTATCATTGGCGCCAGAACCGTGTTGCGACATGGGAGTTCTTCCCTGAGCTCAGTGCAGTTCAGGGACTCTTGGTCTTTTCCAAATATAGAACCAGCCTGTTTTAACTACGCATTAAACAGCAATCACCGTGAGAATAGTTTGCATCGACAGTAATGTCTGTATACTGACATGACAGATAGGAGAGCTGCTCTTCAAGTCACTTTATTCCCAGAGCCATAAACCCATAATAAATATGTGTTATAAGCAGTGGAGGGGGTTAGACGAGCATCGCAGCTTTTAAGGGTTTTCCACTGGGATGGAGAACTGAAGTGTGCCACACCAAGTGGAGCAGCATACATCAGGACCAAGCACTCAGCGGCCTCCATCACTGCGCTGCTACCACACACTGTCAGCTTTGTTCTGACACATGAATTACAGCTTCCGTCTATTGGAAAGGAAAATGAGTAAGTGGGGGTGTCATTGTGTCATCATGGCTGTCTAAATCTATGAACAAAAACAGCCAACTAGCCTTTAGGATGTATCCTCCTGTGAATAACTACACATCCATTCCAAATGTATAACCCGGGGGAAAAAAGGACACACCCTCAGTATAAGTCACCTGGCTAAAACAGACGCTATTTTTGCCTGGCTGCTCAAATGTATAATCTTTTGGAGCTACTCCCAATACTGCAGAAGGTTAAACGGATACTTAGGATTATATATAGTATCGATTGCATCGAGAAAAAAAATCTTGTTTTGGACCAAACCATAATGTGTCTAAAAAGGTTGGCTAGAGCTAGGGTTGACACTTGGCTTCATAGTCAGTATGTATGTGTGTGTGTGCGCACACACACACACACACACACACACACACACACACACACACACACACACACACACACACACACACACACACACACACACACACACACACACACACACACACACACACACACACACACACACACACACACACACACACACACACACACACACACACACACACACACACACACACACACACACACACACACACACACACACCACACACACACACACACACACACACACACACACACACACACACACACACACCCCACACACACACACACACACACACACACACACACACACACACACACACACACACACACACACACACACACACACACACACACACGGTCAGTGTCATGGAATATACTATATTTATATATTACAGTAAATAATTGTATGTGATATCATGCTTAATGTAGGGCAAAGATACCAATTTAAATTCTGAATGTATCCGACACCTGGAGGGAAATAACAGTGGCAGCAACATTGCTCTGTCACTCCATATTTCATCCAATCAGAGGCCACCTTGCCGCTGGCAGCAGGCGACAGTGGCAGAAAGATCTCTACTGACACCTACAGGCACATTCCAGTATATCACACAGAAGAATAAATGTTAACTTAACAAGGCACCCAGGCTGCAAGAAATGCTGGTATGGTCGCTTTCATGTCTCATCATGACACACACATACACAAAAAGAAACGGTGTAATGGCAACCCAAATGTAGAATATAAACTATACACATTCATATTAAATGTACTCACCCCTCCCATTGTTATTCCTCCAATAAGGGCAATATATGGTTTCCTGCATGTCCCTATAAAACAGAGAATCAAGACATGCAAAGTAGAGGCCTGGGTGTTTACCAGATTCAAATCTCAACGGCTTTATTGTCATATGTCTAAAATATCTACAGCATATTTGTTGACATGTCTTAATTCCCAGGCTCCTCCAGGGATAATATACTTAAGACATAAAAGAAAAATCACAAGAAAAGAGTGCACACCTTTTTCAAGTAAATATGTAAGATTAAGTAAACTATGTTCATTTGAAATGGAATAGGATAAAGTAGAATGTACAATTCAACACTTAAAAGTGAAAGAAAATACAGCTTTTTGTAATCATATATAAATGTGTTGATTGTAAACATATATACAATGAGAAATGAGATGAGATGAACAACGATATATAAATGTATCAAGTGAGACTATCAGTAATTAAGCACCCACAAGTAGTAGTTGTGATTGATAATACAGGTGTGATTGTGCTTGTAATGCTTACCAATGGCGTGGTTGAGGGTGTATTCCTCACGGAAAAAGTCCTCTGCCAAAGGGTCTCCCACTTTCCCTGCTTCTGTGACGGCTGATCAAAACAGGAATTAGATCCAGTCACACTGTCAACGCCTCTGTTTTATATTACATTCAGGTAACAGAGTGGACCATCTATATCTCACAATCAAAAAGAGTTCAAACATATTTCTAAGGCTTCACAGAATAACATGTTTTTATTTCTGACATAATCTTTCTGTTAATAATCATTATCAAATCAGAATACTTTATTTATCCTGGGAGAAATTGAGTGAATGTGACAGTTTAGTGTGTATCAATTATAATCAAATACAAATATGTATATAGAGATAAGAAGTTAAAGTAAGAATGTGCACTAAGAAGATCAAATAAAATACAAATATTCATATAAACGCTTTTATTTATTACATTCTTTTTTGTAATCTTTAATTGTGGCTTGATTTTCTCTAGGAGAAACTGGTGCTCACCTCTTCAATGTGAATGTTTGATAACACACATGAGGCCCAAACAGGGTCCTCACAGAGCGCAGTGATTGATCCTTCAATGGTTCTGCTTACCTCTGATGTCTCCCCCTGCACAGAAGGCCTTCCCCCCCGCTCCTCTGATGATCACTATGTCCGTCTCATTGTCACTTTCCCATTTCTACAAGCACAGACAGCAGTACATTCAAAGGAAGGCATCATCAAAAACAAATGTTATGGTGAAGCGACAGTTCACCCTCAAAACCAAAACAGATATATTTTTCATCTGCTTTTTGTACCGTTACTAAAAAGAATCCACACATGTTGTTTGAGCATTTTTCTGTAGGAACTATTTTCTTTCTACGATGCTGAAGGAAGCATCAGCTCCTGTATGTCAGTCATTGGAAGTCATCATTTGATAGAAATAGTTCCAACATAAAAATGCCCACAACAAGCTCTGTGGATAATCTTGATCAGTCTAGTCATGATTTCATGATATTCCTTTAAATATATTGTTGACGCTTTGAGCACCACCATTAGAATAGTAGAGATAGTTCATTCAGGGTTCATACACTTTTTCACCAATGATTTTCCATGACTTCTCCATGACCTTTACCTCATTTTCCATGACCAAAAAAATTACTCAAATGGTTTATTTGAACATGGAACAGGAAAATAAGGTCTGCATATGAAACATGTTGTGCCTATCTAAAACAAATCAAATAGGCTTACTAGCTTCTACACGCTAAAGCAACTGAAATCTCACCAGCAAAATATCTCGTCAGTTAAATGCCATTTTACGTTTCATTACTATACGATACAGTATGTATTATCATTATAGTATTACTATTTCGGCGATTAGATCAAATATAAATTATATTTGATGCAACTTTAGTTACATTTCCATGACTTTTCCAAAACTTTGGGAAACATATTGTTTTCCAAAACTTTTCCAGGGCCTGAAATTTGCATTTTGAATTTCCATGACTTTTCCAGGTTTTTAATGACCGTAAGAACCCTGTTAATTTCTCCACTGGGCAACTCAGAACAAAATCATCTAAATAAATTGCACAACAGGTCAAAGGAAAAATATGTTTTTGTTTTTTGTCTTTCTTTTTGCGATGTAAGGGATGACTGTATCCTTAGAAATAATTGTATGTGTGTCTTCTGGTATCACATGACATCAAACTTCTCTGTTTTTCAGGAGGTTAAAGTTAGCACATTCCTAAACGGCTACATTATGGTAGCATGTTTTTCAGTACTTCATTTCTCATATTCACAACAGTTACAGGGAAACAATGAACACCTGAAGCCTCTCCCTCGAACAATGGTAAACAGATATGGTTTAAAATAAAAAAAACATACAGTACATACAATGTATATCAGAGTGATGGCCAATGATTAAACTGAATAGTTTAGTATAAGAAATGTACTTTTATATTTATATATATTCAGAAGTGTTTTAAAACACTCCGTAAAAGTATATAAATGTATTATCTTAAAGTATATAAAAGGTGTATATATATAAATGAATACATATTTTTTGTAAGCAAGTCCTTTACAGGTTTTTGAGAAAACTATCAGACTCTCAACAAAATCAAAACTAAGTGAGATACTGGAAGCCATGTATAACCAGTCACATGCTGCTGTAACAAATGGCATGTACCACAGGGGAGGCCTTGACCTTTAAGCCAGAAGAAGTTAGCATTAAGCGAGCGTGCCCTACCTTGAGCTGAGGGTAGATATGTTGGACCATGGGCATGTTCAGGGCATTCAGGGCCTTGGGTCTGTTTAAGGTGATCACACCTGCACAGCCCACTTTCTCCAGAAGAACCCCGGAGTCCACCTGACTCGACATCTGATCCAAACAGAGACGGAGCAATAGTGTAATGCCTTTATAGAACACTTGAATCAACTCAGAAATAGCTCTACAGCTGATGTATATAGTTAGCCAAGGATAAGAACTTTGACAGACCGTAGAGAAAACTGATCGAAACTGAATTCCACTGATGACAAAGCATCACTTAAATAAATGCATTCATAATCAAATACATTTACACACATAGTTTGATGTGAAGGCATCATTTGAGGGGCATACATTGGTAGGTCTGAAATGTAATAATATTCTATAATATATTGATGTATTGTTTGGTCTATACAATATGGGTGGCTTTGGTTAATTTAGCATGTTTTCCAATCACCAATAAAAGGATATACAAAAGTAGGCCTTCATCTTTTCTATAATACAATGTGGCAAGAGGCAAATCTGAGGTCACAAATATTTCTATATGAATCTATTTTTTCTTCAGAGTATGACTTGACAATCCTTCAAATGATATGATGAGAGCTAAAGTCACACATTCAATTGCACGCTAACTGCACATTAGCATAATTAAACATTAGCCACAAAACAACATTCAGGATCCATAGACTGATCCAGAAAGGTAGGTCATGAGGGGCTTCTCACCATGTGGCCCTGGATTCTCTGCAGTCTGCACAGGGTCCTCAGTCTGAAGGACACAATCATTCATAAACACATCTGAAAACATGTGATTCTTCAGCAGAGGTGGGTGAAGTACTCAGATCTTATAGTTAAGTCAAAGTAGAAGTACCAGAGTGCAGGAATACTCTGTTACAGTAAAAGTCCTGCATTCAAGATGTTACTCAAGTAACAGTATTATCATCAAAATATAGTGAAAGTAGCGACAGTAAAAGTAGTCATTGTGCAGATTGGTCCATTTCAGAATAATATATATGATATGTTTTATAATGATTGATCATGAGAGTGTTCTCAAAGCTGGTAAATGTTTGAATGACTTTGTATACTGCAGGGTAGCTTGTGGATTTACTCCAGGTGGAACTAAAGTCTGATTTAACACTTGATTATATTTCACACCATTAATCCACATCTGTGAAGTAACTAAAGGTATTAAATACATTTAGTGGAGTAGAAGTACACCATTTACCCCTGAATTGTAGTAGAGTAGAAGTACAAAGTAGCATAAAATGGAACTACTCAAGTAAAGTACAAGTATCTCAAAATTGTACTTAGGTACAATACTTGAGTAAATGTGTTACTTCCCAGTTCTGTTCTTCAGACTCAGAATCAATCAAATGTATTTCGGCCAAGTTCCCATCCAGAACAACATCAGTGATATAGAGAGGTGGATGCATGCTCACAGTAAGTACAACCTTTGCATCATGACGCTTTAAGTGACAGTATCATCTCAGGGACTGAATTCAACCTTTCCAGATTATTTGATATTGTAGAACAAGCTAGAGATGCTGCACATTGTACACAACTAGCAAACTCAGGACAACAAACTTTAAATTATACACGCAGAGTCACATACCTGTAGGCAGACGTCAAAGCGGTTAAAGACATTATTATATTTGTATTACGTGCTGTAGCAGGTAACTGCACTCTGATGCCGTTTTCTTTGCTCTTGCCTTTCCTCTGCTCTAGACTGTCAGCGTTTACTTCCTGGACGAGACACCGACCGAGCCCTGATTGGTCGGTGCGCTGACGTCACGAGGTGAGTACGCACCACCCAAACTCCGAAGAGTTGCGAAAATGCTTGATCGTCACGTGGTTCATGGAGACTCAGATAGTTCCCGAAAGTTCGTGGCGGGCCATTTGAATGCATTAATAACAGGAGATAAAACTGCGATTTTTGGTAATTAGTGGTACATAAAGGTTTTGATTTGCAATATTTATACAACATATCGATATGTGTATGTAGATACATCAATATGTTTTGTTTTTTTTAAATAAAATGTTCTAATATTTGAGGATTAATATAATAAGTACTTTATTGATACCAATTTGGGAAATGATTGCATTGTAGCAGCAAAAGTCAAGGCATTGTATATTAGAGAAGGTAAAAGACTAGAAATAAACAATCCAAAATGTAAACATCTCAAAAAGAATTAAAATAGCATTAAAAAAAGTAGAAAATACACGTGCAACAGGTGTTGTCTTGGTTACAGAGCCTGTTGCTGTTGTTTATTGCTTTGAATTCTTTAAAACAAATATTATCTTCTTCAATTTGTATGGTAGTCAGGAGCATCACATTCTAATGTGTATTGATATATTTAGAGGGATGAGATGATGGGAAGGAAGGATTCAAAATTCTGATTAGATACATTTCTACCATTTCTTTAATTCATGGTGGTTTCAGTAATCCCCTGGTAATTGAGGACATAAGTAATCTAAATGACTAATGTCATCTTTATGACTTTCAGAAAGGACAGGAGACCGACAGGTGCCTATCAATGATTGTCAACTGACAGCACAATGAGTCAAAGGGCTAGCAGCAGCAGCATGATGATGATGATACATGTGTTGTTTTAGGAACATCCATTGTAAATAAATGGAATTCAATAAACATTGAATAGCATGCATGCAGTTTGTCTGTGCCTTTTCCTCTGTTGTCCTGGCATATCGTCTCCCCCATGGTTTGCTGTGCTGCCGGGGGATGCTCCAATCGCTCAGAGAAAGGAATATGAATGTACGGCTTCCCCACTGACACAGAGAGGAGGAAAGAATGGCTGGCTCAAGTCAGCAGGAGCAATTTAACTATCACGAAAGACAACAACAGCAACAAAGCATGTGAGGTAATCATATCTTTCACAAAACGAAGACCACACCATTGGGAAGCTTAATGTCTGTTTAATCAAAAATAAGGAACAGGGAGAGGCTTGCAAAACTCTGGGAGTTGAGACTCAGGTGCAGGGTGAGGGTCTCAGTGCAGGTCTTCAGGAATCCCCCTGGGGTTCTTGTGCTGAAATAGGGAGACAAAGACAGGAGAAAGGGTTAAATACATCTAGCAACCTATGGAAAATTGCTGAGCTATTTTAAACTTACCTTGTGTTTCACTCTCACTTTAGTTAAGTCCCTCTGCCTTTGCCATCAATCCAAAATCAGTGAGTGACTTCTGCTCTGACAGCCAGGCATGACGGGTAATCTGTGACGTTTCGCTTTCTCAAAGGTTGGGCCATTTTGTCTTCCTGCGCCAATGAGCAACTCTCATTGGAAAGAACGAGACCCCGCCTCCCACGCTGTATCCAGTTCTTATTATACATCCATGGAGTGAACGGAGATGTCGCAACTCTTCTATTATAGGGCTCTGTCACCACAGAGGGAGATGTATGCATCCGGGTACCTAATGTTTCTGCCACACTGCCACCTACTGTGCAGATGAGGCACTCTCACTCCTTTATTATACTAATATATTATTTTAAAAATATTACACTAGACTCAACATCAATATATAAACCCGTCTCGAAGACAATATTGTAGAGGTTGTAGTAATCTTAAACAAAAATTAAACTACTGCATTATTATAATTCACCATCTTTACAATACAATGCAATAACACTATACTACAATATACAATACATCCAATCCACTTTATTTCTATAGCACATTTAAAAACAACAGAGTTGAACAAAGTGCTGTACATCATCAACTGTATAAAAACATAGCATAAATACATAAAAAACAGACAGGACATGAAACAAATGTAAGACATGAGACAATGAAACCAGATCAGAAGCCACAGACTGAAAAACTCTCCTACATGACGTAAAAACAATACAAAACACTGGTAAGATAAAAAGTGTCATACCTGGCCTGTAAATGCCAGGGAAAAGAAGTGGGTTTTTAAACGAGATTTAAGTAGAGTTGGAGCAAATCTAACCTGGAGGGGTAATTCGTTCCATAACTTTGGAGCTACACCAGCAAAGGCTCTGTCTCCTCGTTGCTTTAACCTTGATTTTGGGACTACCAGAAGGAGTCTGTCAGCAGACCTCAGTGACCGTGTGGGTGTGTATGGTTTTAAAAGATCTGCCAAGTACGGTGGGGCTAAACCGTTTAGGGCTTTGTATGCGAACAATAACATTTTGAAATTGAATTCTAAAATTGACTGGTAGCCAATGTAGAGTGTATGGCGTCCTTGTAAGGAGGCGCGCAGCAGCATTCTGGACCAGCTGTAGGCGAGACAGGGAAGCCTTGCTTACCCCAATGTACAGAGCATTGCAGTAATCCAGTTTAGTGGATATAAAACAATGTATTACTTTCTCAAAGTCATCAAAAGAAAGGAAAGGCTTGACTTTTGCTAAAATTCTTAGCTGAAAAAAGCTGGATTTTACCACAGAATTGATCTGTTTGTCTAGTTTAAAATCACGATCAATCCGTACACCCAGATTCGTTACAATGGGTTTCACATATGGTACAAGAGAATCCAGCCCAGGCTATTGACTATGCTATACAATAATACTATACAATAACCTACTAATACTGTGCAATAATGTTATACTATACTCTACTATACTATGATATATTATGCTATATTATAATATACTATACTACTGGACACTAAACTATACTATAGTATATTGTACTACACTACTGTGCAATATTATACTATGCTATACTATATTATACTTTACTATATTATAATGTACTACACTATACTACACTATGCTATATTAAAATATACTATATTATACTACACTACACTATACCATACCAAACTATACTATACTATAATATACTATGCTATATTATAGGGTTGAACGATATGGCGATAACCGCGATATGCGCATGCGCGATATTCACATCGCAGGGACGTGCGATTTTATTATTAATTTTTTTTTTTCTTTTTTTTTTTTAGAACGTGCGATATTAAGTAGGTAAATGAACTCAAACACGTAATGTTACTGTAAGGGAAACTTCTGTGTAGCAATGCAGTGGGAGTCACCGACTCAGGAAGGAGACACGGGAAGAGCAGGAGCTTTGATGTCAAACACTGATGGTTTATTTGGAGTTACGGCCGGAGAGTTCACATCACAAGTCCAAGAGCCAGAGGTTCTGACTTCACGGTAGAGTTGCCACGTCAATTCTAAAGAACTCTACCTCAGACCCATGTATTTAACTAGTTCTGAGAGCATCATCAAACTTCTGCATAACAAGATAAAATCATAACACCTCTATCAGCTGACGTCAACAGGCAGGAACATAGAATCATAACACCTCTATCAGCTGACGCCAACAGGCAGGAACAGGGAGACAGAACACTGAGAGCACAGCAGCCAAGGTTACGAGGTGCGTGTGCTCAGTCAGGACAGTTTGAACTGATAAACTGGGTCAAAGTTATGGGCCTTGGAAAATATTTCCACAACAGTTACAATTATGTTGCTGCTTGCTACAAAAGGAAAACTTGCGCGGCTCTCATGTCAGGGGTACTTGAGTCAATCAATCAATCAATCAATCAATGTTTATTTATATAGCCCAATATCACAAATGTTACATTTGTCTCAGTGGACTTCACAGTTTGTACAGAATATCAGCAACATAGGTAGTCCAAATGTTTGGAAATGCATGTGTGTATAATAGGAAGATGAATCCACGAGGATATCCATCCAGGACCTATGATCCAGGACCACAGCCACGACTCGCGATCCAGGGCTCGCGATCCAGGGCTCGTGATCCAGGACACAGGACCGCAGGATCATCCATGACTCAAGATCCCGGCGTATATAGACACCAAAAAGAAAGAAATTTGGGGAAGCTGGGTTAATCGGAACATGAGAGTACACAGGTATAGACAGAGAGAAGGAAGAAGTAAGATGTCCTCCGACAAACTAAGCCTATATCAGCAAAACTAGGGGCTGAATCTAATCAGCCCTAACTATAAGCTTTATCAAAAAGGAAGGTCTTAAGCGCACTCTTAAAAACGGATAGGGCGTCTGCCGCCCGAACACAAACTGGAAGCTGATTCCACAAATGTGGAGCTTGATAAGAAAAGGCTCTGGCTCCCATTGTACTTTTAGAGACTCTAGGAACAACCAACAACCCTGCATTCTTGGAACGCAATGCCCTAGTAAGACAGTAGGGTATAATGAGTTCTTTAAGGTAAGATGGCGCCTGCCCATTAAGGGCTTTGTAGGCGAGAAGAAGAATTTTAAATTCTATCCTGTGTTCTATAGGGAGCCAGTGTAAGGCAGCCAGAACAGGAGTAATGTGGTCCCTTTTCCTAACTCTGGTTAGTACACGAGCCAAATTAATGCCATCCATAGTTAGTATTTCTTTAGATCATTTGTTTCGTAGATTCCTCGGGCCAAGTACAATAACTTCAGTTTTGGTCGTCAAAAAATGTAAGGTCATCCACGTTTTTAAGTCCTTGAGGCAGTCTTGAATTTAATTTAGATGATTAATTTCATCAGGCTTGATTGATAAATATAGTTGAGTATCATCCGCATAACAATGAAAGTTTACAGAATGATTCCTTATAATATTGCCTAACGGAAGCATATATAATGTGAACAAAATAGGTCCGAACACTGAGCCCTGTGGCACTCCATGGCTAACTTTGGTTTGCGTGGAAGATTCATCGTTGACACGTACAAACTGAGAGCGTTCAGATAGATAGGACCTAAACCAGCTTAAAGCAGTTCCCTTTATGCCAACTAAGTGCTCTAGTCTTTGCAATAGGATATCATGGTCGATAGTATCAAATGCAGCACTGAGATCGAGCAAAACAAGAATAGATACAAGTCCCTTGTCTGAGGCTATTAGAATTTCATTTGTGACTTTAACCAGAGCTGTCTCTGTGCTATGATGTGTTCTAAAGCCAGACTGAAAATCTTCAAATAAATCATTGTTTTTTTAAGTAATCACACAGCTGTTTTGCGACTGCTTTCTCAAGAATTTTTGAGAGGAACGGAAGATTAGAAATAGGTCTATAGTTGGCTAAAACCTCTGGATCGAGGTTGTGCTTTTTAAGAAGCGGTTTTATCACTGCTACTTTGAATGATTGTGGAACATAGCCTGATAATAAAGACATATTCATAATATTTAATAAAGAAGTGCTAATTAATGGAAAAACTTCCTTCAACAGCTTAGTTGGAATTGGGTCTAACATGCACGTTGATGGTTTAGAAGAGATAATCATTGAATTTAATTGTTCAAGGTTTATGGCTGAAAAGCATTCTAGTTTACTATCTAGTGTAATATTAGAACTTACGTTTCCGGGAGCTGTTGATAACACTATACTGGTCAAAGGCAAGAGGTCATTAATTTTATTTCTAAGAGTAACAATTTTATCGTTAAAAAAGCACATTAAATCATTTCTACTGAGTGCTATGGGAATAGAAGGCTCAATCGAGCTGTGGCTGTCTGTCAGCCTGGCTACAGTGCTGAAAAGAAATCTTGCATTATTCTTATTCTCATCTATTAATGAAGAGTAGTAGGCTGCTCTCGCTTTACGCAGTGCTTTCTTATATTCATTGAGAGTAATATGCCAAATTAAACGAGATTCTTCAAGTTTAGTGGAACGCCATATCCTTTCAAGTTGTCTCGACTTTTGCTTTATTTTGTGGGTTTCAACATTATGCCATGGAGCTAATCTATGTTGTTTTATTTTCTTCTTCTTCAAAGGAACAACAGAGTCTAATTTTATGAGTGAGTGACATGCTGGCTCTGCATGCACAGCAAACCACCAATCACAATCATTCTTGATCAGATCACAGCAGGCCCCGCCCCGCTGGTTTGCAGACCATCAAAACACCGGTAAAAAATGAGCGAGGCACAGGAGGACAATACCGGCGAGAATGAAGATTTACTTCCATAAAGAAAAGCAACATCTGCCATCTGGAACTATTTTGAATACAAAAAGGTTCTTCTCTTCTTCATTCACAGATGAACCCCCTTATTTGAGGGTAAGCAACATGTATTATCATGACATGTCAGATCATGATTTAAGGTATGATGAGTCAACCAGTTGAGATCCAGACGTCCGTGACTAAAATCCTTCATCCGGTTTAAATATAGTTAAAAAAAACGCAATATATATCACAGGGGAAAAAAATGTATCGCAATGTCAGTTTTTTTCAATATCGTGCAGCCCTACTATATTATATACTATACTATACTGTGCTGTATACTATACTATATTATACTATAGGCTACTATACTATCAATACCATACTACTATACTATACTATCAATACCATTATATACTATACTACACTATACTATCCCGTACCAAAACCATCCAGAATTTCAACTTCACCCTTGACAGCAACACTCTATCCCCCCCCCCCCCCCCCCCCCCCCCCCCCCCCCCCCCCCCCCCCTCACATCTGCAATCTCGGAGTCATCTTCGACAGTCAGCTCAAATTCAACCACCACATCAATCACATCACCAGGACCGCCTTTTTCCACCTCAAAAACATTGCCCGTCTCCGCCCATCACTCTCCTCCTCTGCTGCTGAAACCCCCATGCATTCATCACGACTCGACTACTGCAATAGCATCCTCTGCGCCGGCATACATTTACAGGCCAGGTATGACACTTTTTATCTTACTAGTGTTTTGTATTGTTTGTACGTCATGTAGGAGAGTCTTTCAGTCTGTGGCTTCTGGTCTGGTTTCATTGTCTTGTGTCTTACATTTGTTTCATGTCCTGTCTGTTGTATTTATGCTATGTTTTTATACAGTTGTTGATGTACACTACAGCACTTTGTTCAACTCTGTTGTTTTTAAATGTGCTATAGAAATCAAATGGATTGGATTAGATACCATCCAACCTCCTTAATAAACTCCAACACATCCAGAACTCTGCTGCTCGCCTCCTCATCACACCCGCTTTCCGAGACCACATCACTCCCGTCCTCCAGAACCTCCACTGGCTCCCCGTCCGTCAAAGGATCAACTTCAAAGTCTTCCTCATTACTCACAAAGCCCTCAACAACCAGCCCCCCCCCCCCCCCCCCCCCCCCTACCTCACAGACCTGCTGCACCACCACCCCCTTCCCGCTGCCTCCGCTCATCAGAAGCCAACCTCCTATCCATTCCCACCCGCATCAATCACCGGACCTGGGGGGACAGAGCCTTCTCCGTTGCTGCCCCCTCCCTCTGGAACTCACTCCCACAACCCATCAGAGGCAGTCTCTGATGGGTTGTGGGAGTGAGTTCCAGACTGACCTCACCACCTTCAAAAAACTCACAAAAACTCACCTCTTCAATCTGGCTTTTAATGTGTGATTGTTTTTGTATTATTTGATTTTAATTTGACTTTAACTATATTTATTTGTTGTTCTTTCCTTTTCACTATCTCTGTAAAGCGACTTTGAGCACCTGTAAAATAAATCTATTATTATTATTACTATACTATACTATGCTATAGATACTCTAAGTACTTCAATGCATATTCCACCAGTCACTGAAAATACTGTGGGAGTTTATAAAACATGTATTGAAAAACAAGAAGTGGTGGCTCTTAAAGAACCACTTGTGAACTTGTTGTGTTAAAGTGTGGATGTAAACATTAACAAGTGTTTGATTGCACAGGCTATCACACTGAGATCAGAGTACTGCACTGGAAGCTCCAGGGTGATGGCAGCCTTCCCTCTGCAAATAAAAAGCACACCTTGACATTAGCCAGAGTTGTTTATTAAGAAGAATGGAGGCAAGCAACAATAAAAAAAAATCAGCCATTGCATCATTACTACTGGTGTTTGTTATACACAGTAATGCATCAAAAGCTTTTTATTCAAACATCCAGCATTGTTTGATCCTGAATGCTTTTCACCGTATTACAGTGTTGGGTGTGTATTCAAAGGAAATGCAAGATTTGAGTAATAATGTGATAACAAATATTTCTGCAGTTACATCTTGATGGTATGATGATGAAGGTTTCCAGGTTCCAACATGACTTGTTTCTCCTCCTATCAGGAAACGTCATCTAGTCAGAGTCACTGATGCAGGAATGCACACGCACACACATGCACACACACACGCACACACACATGCACACGCGCACGCACACACACACACACACACACAAACACACACACACACACACACACACACACACTGTAATGTAATCATTATTGCTTATTTTGAACTTGTTTTTTTTTAAATATTTATAATCACTATCATTATGATTAATCAAAATTACTGAACTGCTAGAATCAAATATATTCTATAACCAACATAGAAGCTATACAAATGATCATATCTTACCTCGTGACAGTCCTGTCCATTCTGGTGACACTTGCTTACGGTCATGGCCATCTCAGTGGCATTGCTGCTCTATATGGCGGTCTTGCTGGCCAGTACCATCTCTGTGGCCATGCCCCTGACCAGCCAGAGGTCCTTGAACATATATCATGGTACATGTCTGATGGAAGTAGTTTGGTGGTTGATAATAACCGTATTGCCCATAAGGGTATGATACTAGCATATATGGGTCAACAGGAGGGTACATGTATTCTAAACATAAGAAGAAAAAATACGTATCACAAGACATCATCAGGTATGTGATGTATATGAATTATAATTGACAGGGGTTGTGATACTTACAGTGCATCCGGAAAGTATTCATACCCCTTAACCTTTTTCACATTTTTTACGTTATAGCCTTATTTGAACATGGATTAAATTCATTTTGTTTCTCAATATTCCACACACAATACCCCATAATGAGAAAGTGAAAACGTTTTTTAAAGACTTTTTTGCAAACGTGTTAAAAATAATCAAATGAAATATCACATGTACATAAGAATTCACACCCTTTGCTATGACACTGAAAATTGAGATGTTTCTCAAACTTGATTGGAGTCCACCTGTGGTCAATTAAATAGATTTGACGTGACTTGGTAAGGAACACAGCTGTCGTCCCACAGTTTACAGTGCGTATCAGAGCACAAACCAAGTCATGAGGTCCAAGGAATTGTCTGTAGATCTCAGAGACAGGATTGTATCAAGGCACAGATCTGGGGAAGGGTACAGAAAAATATCTGCAGCATTGAACGTCCCAACGAGCACAGTGGTCTCCATCATTTGCAAATGGAAGATGTTTGAAACCACCAGTGCTCTTCCTAGAGCTTGCAGCAAGGCAGAAGGGCCTTAGTCAGAGAGGTGACCAAGAACCCGATGGCCACTCTGATAGAGCTCCAGTGTTCCTCTGTGGAGATGGGAGAACCTTCTAGAAGGACAACCATCTGTGCAGCACTCCACCAATCAGGCCTTTATGGTAGAGTGGCCAGAAGGAAGCCACTCCTCAGCAAAAGGCACATGAAAGCCCCCATGGTACACCTAGAGGACTCTCAGACCACGAGAAACCAAATGTTCTGGTTTGATGAAACCAAAATGGATCTCTTTGGCCTGAATGCCAAGCATCAACAGGGGCCCAAACAATTTTAGAACATTAAGAAAAAAAAATGTAAGTAACCAATGTGAGATCTTTTCATGGGGCCCAAAATCCCTGGCGGCGCCCCTGGCCGCAGGGTGTGTAACTATTTCAAAATCACTCAGAACAAAGGTCTTAATTCAACGCTCCCTGGGTAAATAAGATAATATGAATACACACTGATAGATAACCCACACAGTGTAATATGAAACCATGAGGTCAGATGAAATGTAAAACACAAGAGAGCGCTCAAATAATAATATATCAAAAGCATGCACTGCCGTAATAGTTCCTTACAAAAAGCAAATGAAAAAACTAAGCCATTGCTAGTTTACTTTACTAGCATTTTCATATACAGAAAGCACTTTTACATTCACACAAACACCATCAGCGATACAATAATGTTTGATACATAATCTATTTTTTAATTGTACATGAAGAATTATTTAACAGTAATATATTGATTGTAATATATAGCATGAGGAAAATGATTCCTGCTTGTCTTGTTTCTCATCCAATCAGGAACCTTCATCTAGTCCGAGTCGCTGCTGCAGGAGCTGCTGGAGGACTGCAGGGGGGAAGAACACAACAAACACACACAAAATGTAAGGAAAGTGTCATTATTTGTTGAACAATATTGTGAATTATTTTCAAAAATACAATACAGTACTTCTTTGATATCATGTGATAAACTCAGATTTTCTTTTTATATATATATATATATATATATTAGGGCCGGGACTTTAACGCGTTAATTAAGATTAATTAATTACACAAAAATTAACGCGTTAAAAAAATTAACGCATTTTAATCGCACTTATTTTTGCACCGCGGAACGTTTCTCACTGGATGAGTTTCAGGCGTACCGATTATACTGGAGCACCAACTAACGTTCATGACTTCAGACAACAACAAACCACAGTGAACAACAGTGGGAAATGTTGTTTTAAAAAACGGACGGATGGAAGCGTTGATAAGAGCACGGTTGTGTGCAAATTATGCAAAAAGGAATTCGCATATCACCGCATCACATCAAGCCTCAAGTATCACCTCAATGCAAAACATATAGCAGCTAGCGTGGAAGCTAGCGTGGACGTTAGCCTCTTTTATCGCGTTCACACCAAAAAGAGCCGGTACTAAAATTAGTTCATGAGAACCTTTTTACCCCCACGAAAGTCCCTGCTAGAGAGCAGAGAGCTGCTAGAGAGCAGGGACTTTCGTACGGCTCTCTTGTGAGAAAAGAGCTATATTTCTGATTGGCTGGGCGGATTGCAAACCACGCCCCGTAAAACTCCCAAAAAGTTTTGTGAAGCCGGCATTTTATTATCCTCGCATTAGCATTATTAGCATTAGCTCAGCGCAGAAACGCAGAGAGACTAACTTATGGCAACACAAAATAAAACATGGGAGCGGTGGAGATGAGGAGGTGTCGGCGTTCTGGCGATTTACTCGGAAGGCTTCAGTAGAAGCTGCTGGGAGTCCCAGCAGCTTCTACTGAAGCCAGTCCCCAACTCCGGGGACTTCCGGCCGGGGACTTTGGGCGGCAGTATACGCCGTGAAGTGGTTTGCGGCCTGCCAGTAAACCCAAAGCAGAAGAAGAAGAAGTGACGTCAGCGGCTTCATTTGCCTAATCCACCCCCAGGTTCAAAGAGTTCTCATGAACTAAATTCTCATGAACCTTTGTGGGAAAAGTACTGCGGTGGGAATGCGCCTAATGGTATACTAAAATCCATGTGAAAAAAAATTGCTTCTCACTGTTCTCAGGTCAAATATTTATATGTGATTAAAAATGCGATTAATTTCGATTAATTAATTACAAAGCCTCTAATTAATTAGATTAATTTTTTTAATCGAGTCCCGGCCCTAATATATATATATATATATAGATATATATATATATATAATATATATATATATATATATATATATATATTAGGGCAAAATTAGATTAATTTTTTTAATCGAGTCCCGGCCCTAATATATATATATATATATAGATATATATATATTAGGGCCGGGACTCGATTAAAAAAATTAATCTAATTTTTTTAATCACATATAAATATTTGACCTGAGAACAGTGAGAAGCAATTTTTTTCACATGGATTTTAGTATACCATTAGGCGCATTCACACCGCAGTACTTTTCCCACAAAGGTTCATGAGAACTTAGTTCATGAGAACTCTTTGAACCTGGGGGAGGATTAGGCAAAGAAGCCGCTGACGTCACTTCTTCTTCTTCTTCTGCTTTGGGTTTACTGGCAGGCCGCAAACCACTTCACGGCCCAAAGTCCCCGGCCGGAAGTCCCCGGAGTTGGGGACTGGCTTCAGTAGAAGCTGCTGGGAGTCCCAGCAGCCTTCCGAGTAAATCGCCAGAACGCCGACACCTCCTCATCTCCACCGCTCCCATGTTTTATTTTGTGTTGCCATAAGTTAGTCTCTCTGCGTTTCTGCGCTGGGCTAATGCTAATAATGCTAATGCGAGGATAATAAAATGGCGGCTTCACAAAACTTTTTGGGAGTTTTACGGGGCGTGGTTTGCAATCCGCCCAGCCAATCAGAAATATAGCTCTTTTCTCACAAGAGAGCCGTACGAAAGTCCCTGCTCTCTAGCAGCTCTCTGCTCTCTAGCAGGGACTTTCGTGGGGGTAAAAAGGTTCTCATGAACTAATTTTAGTACCGGCTCTTTTTGGTGTGAACGCGATAAAAGAGGCTAACGTCCACGCTAGCTTCCACGCTAGCTGCTATATGTTTTGCATTGAGGTGATACTTGAGGCTTGATGTGCTGCGGTGATATGCGAATTCCGTTTTGCATAATTTGCACACAACCGTGCTCTTATCGACGCTTCCATCCGTCCGTTTTTTAAAACAACATATCCCACTGTTGTTCACTGTGGTTTGTTGTTGTCTGAAGTCATGAACGTTAGTTGGTGCTCCAGTATAATCGGTACGCCTGAAACTCATCCAGTGAGAAACGTTCCGCGGTGCAAAAATAAGTGCGATTAAAATGCGTTAATTTTTTTAACGCGTTAATTTTTGTGTGATTAATTAATCTTAATTAACGCGTTAAAGTCCCGGCCCTAATATATATATATATATATATATATATATATATATATATATATATATATAATATTGGGAATATCAGTATTTCGTTTTGTATTTCATTCATTTTTTATTAATTTACATTGATAGGATTGTATTGTATGCAATATTACTTTTTATTTTGTATTAAGTTTTGATTTTAAATTTATATTTATTTGTTATAGATACAATGTTTTTTTTTCTTCTTCTAAACAGCTGATCCTTGATCCTATAAATTGCAAAAACCAAAGTGTGAATACAAAAAGGAGTTATTTTCTATTTTTTAGTAAATATAACCAACATGCATTAATAAAAATAATGTTTGAATCTTACCCCGTGACAGTCCTTTCCTTTCTTGTGGCACTTGTCATGCTTGTGACCATGCTTGTGTTTATGGCCATGGCCCTCTCCATGACATGGTCCATGTCCATGCCCATGTTCGTGTCCATGTCCATGCCCATGTTCGTGTCCATGTCCGTGTCCATGTTCGTGTCCGTGCCCATGACCCTGACCGTGGCATTGGCCATGGCCCTGTCCTTGGCCTTGACCAAAACCTGGTCCACAACCAGCTCCAGTTCCCTGACCATAACCCGGTCCTGGCCCATAACCCGGTCCTGGTCCGTGTTGGCCTCCGTGTTGAGGGGGGTAGTTTGGTGGTGGGACAGAGCCCCGAGGATGAGGGTACCCCCCCGGCATCTGCTGAGGATGGTTTGGGTAACCAGGAGGGTACTGGTTTCCTAAACACAAGGATTAGGACTTAAGGCAAGGCAAGGCAAGTTTATTTATATAGCACTTTTCAACACAAGGCAATTCAAAGTGCTTTACAAAAAATGAAAGACATTAAGAAAATGGCATTTAAAATCAGTCATTAAAAAGAAAAGCTAATAAAATAAACATTAAAAGAAAAAAATACATGGATAAAAGTTACAGTGCAGTTTAAGATATGAATAGTTCAACTAAACATTAAAAGAAAAAGTACATGGATAAAAGTTACAGTGCAGTCTAAGATATGAATAGTTCAATTAAAAGCAGCGACAAAAAGAAAAGTCTTCAGCCTGGATTTAAAAGTAGTCAGAGTTGCAGCGGACCTGCAGGTTTCTGGGAGTTTGTTCCAGATATTTGGAGCATAATAACTGAATGCTGCTTTACCATGTTTAGTTCTGACTCTGGGGACAGAAAGCTGACCAGTCCCTGAAGACCTGAGAGATCTGGATGGTTCATAATTTAGCAGGAGGTCAGAAATGTATTTTGGGCCTAAACCATTCAGTGCTTTATAAACCAGCAGCAGTATTTTGAAATCTATTCTTTGACACACAGGAAGCCAGTGTAAAGACTTCAGAGCAGGAGTGATGTGATCCACTTTCTTAGTGTTAGTGAGGACTCGAGCAGCGGCGTTCTGAATCAGCTGCAGCTTTCTAATAGATCTTTTAGTGAGACCTGTGAAGACACCATTGCAGTAGTCGAGTCTACTGAAGATAAAAGCATGGACAAGTTTTTCGAAATCCTGCTGTGACCTTAGTCTTTTAATCCTAGATATATTCTTTAGGTGATAGTCGGCTGATTTAGTAACTGTTTTAATGTGACTGTTGAAACTCAGATCAGAGTCCATGACTACACCTAGATTTCTGGTTTTATCTGTTGTTTTGAACATTGCAGACTGAAGCTCAGTGCTAACTTTTATACGTTCTGACTTGGCTCCAAAAACCATTACCTCAGTTTTATCTTTGTTTAATTGGAGAAAGTTCTGACACATCCAGTCATTGATTTGTTCAATGCACTTACTCAGTGTTTGAATTGGAGCATAGTCTCCTGGTGAAATTGTTACGTAAATTTGTGTGTCATCTGCATAGCTATGGTAACTTATTTTGTTGTTTTTCATTATCTGAGCCAGTGGTAGCATGTAGATGTTAAAGAGAAGAGGCCCCAAGATGGAGCCTTGAGGTACCCCACATGTCATATTTGTCAACTCAGATGTGTATTTACCTATAGAAACAAAGTTGTTTCTGTCCTTTAAGTAGGATTCAAACCAATTTAGAACTGTTTCCGAAAGTCCCACCCAGTTTTCCAGTCGGTCTAGTAATATGTTGTGGTCAACAGTGTCAAACGCAGCACTGAGATCTAATAATACTAACACTGAAGTTCTGCCACTGTCTGTGTTTAAGTGGATGTCATTGAAGACCTTTACAAGAGCAGTCTCAGTGCTGTGGTTTGGACGAAAGCCTGACTGGAACACATCGAAACAGTTATTTAAATGCAAGAAATTACTCAACTGTTGAAAAACAACTTTTTCAATGATTTTACCTAGAAATGGGAGGTTTGATATGGGCCTGTAATTGTTCATTACTGAAGCATCTAGATTATTCTTTTTTAAGAGCGGTTTAATGACTGCAGTTTTCAGGGCCTGTGGAAAAATACCTGAGTGAAGAGATTTGTTTACTATATGAAGTAGATCTGAGGCTATGCAAGGCAAAACATCTTTGAAAAATCCTGTTGGAATAATATCAAGGCAGCAGGAGGAGGATTTCAGAAGTTGTATAATGTCCTCTAAGTTTTTATCATTAATCTGATGGAATTGTGTCATGGTGCTTGAATTGTTATTAGGTGGACACAGAGACAACACATTTGCTGTTCCTGATGCAGAGGCACTGACTGCTTGTCTGATTTTCTGAATTTTGTCAGTGAAAAAGGAGGCAAAATCATTGCACGCCCTGGTGGATAGAAATTCAGAGGCTACTGACACTGGGGGGTTAGTTAGTCTGTCGACGGTAGCAAACATGGCACGTGCGTTGTTTTTGGTTTTGGTAATGATGTCGGAGAAGAACGATTGTCGTGCGTTTTTCAATTCCAAATTATAAAGGCCAAGTCTCTCTTTATAGATTTCAAAGTGAACCTGGAGTTTTGTTTTTCGCCACCTGCGTTCAGCTTTTCGACATTCTCTTTTTTCTGTTTTCACGGTCATGGCCTTTCTCCATGGAGATATTTTCTTGCCAGACACTTCCTTTACCTTAGTTGGAGCAATGGCATCTATAACATTTTTAATTTTTGAATTAAAATGATCTACTAGCTCATTTACTGAGATGTTAGCAGGGGCAAGTGTGGAAGAAAAATTCTGAGTAAACATTTCCCTAGTGTTTTCAGTTAAATATCGCTTTGTGGTTACCTCTTTTTGAACATGGATGTTAAAATCACCAACAATGACTAGACGGTCAAAGTCAATACACACTATAGACAGCAGTTCAGTAAAGTCATCAAAAAAGCTTGCACAGTATTTGGGTGGTCTATAGATATTTAGGAACAGAGCTCGAGAGGAGCATTTCAGCTGAAGGGCCACATATTCAAAAGAATCAAAGTTTCCATACGATGTCTTCCTGCATTGAAGGGATTCATTGAACAGAATAGCAACTCCACCCCCTTTCTTATGCATTCTTTCCTGACTCATAAAACTAAAGTTGGGAGGGGTTGATTCGATAAGAACAGCTGCACTGTTATTTTGTTCAATCCAAGTTTCCGTTAAAAACATAAAATCAAGATTGTGCTCAGTGATAAAATCATTGATTAAAAATGTTTTTCCTGCCAAAGACCTGACATTTAATAAAGCTAGTTTAAGTTTGTTAAACACACTATCAGTCATGTTTTTTGTAACAAGCTGTGGCTGACATGGAATCACTGCTAAATTAGATAAACTCACACAAACGTTTGAGCGCTTCCTGTTTCTAAGATGATTCACCGCTCTTAATCTATTACTTATCAACACAGATATCGGCAAAACTACTGGCAGGCAGGGCCCCGACATGTCCTTGAAAGAGTTGAGAGTGCCATATGCCCTTGAGCCTGGACCCAGCACATATCAGTAAGAATTTGTTGTGTTTTGTACACACACATCCTTATCAGGCTTCGGAGACTGCAGATGCTTTCTTGAAGGGAGGGGAGGTGGTTGACCAGGGGGGGGAGGTGGTTGACGTAGGCGCGGTGATGAAGACGGGGGAGATGGTGCGCGTCTCTGCGGTGATTTTGGTGGGCGTTGAGGAGCGGGGGTAAAGGACATGCCAGCGTTTTGTACACACACATCCCTATCAGGCTTTGAAGGGGAGGGAGGACCCACCACCCTGCTCCTCTCATCATAGGAGGGCAGGGTGAGGGCTACACTGTAGGAAGGGGGGTTTGGAAATCTGCTTCCATCTTCCTTGTATTGTTGTGGTTTTGATGATTGTGGTAGGCATGGTGATGAAGCCGGGGGAGATGGTGCGCATCTCTGCTTCAGTGATTTTGGTGGGCGTAGTTGAGGGGCGGGGGTAAAGGACATGCTGCCAACCCTGCGTGTCGCCGTCATGCGGTCATTGAACTCCAGGGGGGTGGGCGAGGGTGAGAGGGTGAGAGGGTGAGCGGAGAGTAGAGAGAGCTGGGGGATGAATGAAGAGTATCCTCAAAGGCGTTGACAGGGAGGGTGACGGGCAGTGGAGACTCCTCCATTTGTGTCATAATCAGAACATTCCTCAGGCGGGTGCAGTGATAAGTCTTCAGGGTTTTCTGCGCGATGTGTTGTGTCTTTCTCCTGTTTTGATTCCTCTTGCCGCTTGTCCTTGGCAGAGGGAACAGATTGATGACGCAGGCAGTTGAATATGTTAGAGATAAACAATTTTACTCCTGACTTGTTCAGACAAACTCCATTTGCCTTAAAATTGTCAATAAAATGGACAGAATGGTCAGTACAGACAGTTGAAAGCCAGGTGTTCAGTGCAAACAATCTGCTGAATCTCTCCACTCCTCTTCTGACTGGCGGTAGAGGGCCACTGATGAACACCTCTGCATTTAGAGAGCTGACAGTTTCCAACAAACATTTAAAGTCTTCTTTCAGCACTTCTGACTGTTGTTTCACAACATCATTTGTTCCAATGTGCAGTACCACATTTTTTACATTCTGATGTTCAGCCCCAATATGCAGGATCTTCTCAGCCAAGTCAGAGACCACATCCTTGGGAAAACTGAGTACTTTGGTGTTGTTCTTACTACACAGACCTTTTACATCTCTTACAGCAGAGTCACCCACAATCAGAGTTTCAGGCCCAGTCATTAGCTTTCCCTCTAGCCTTTTACTTTTGGAGTAGCTATTGGTCCTTAACCTGCTGTGTGAAGAGGACAGGTTATCCAGGTCATCAGAACTCCGGTTCTCGGTCAGCGGAGCGTATCTGTTCTGGATTGGCACACTTGGTGGTTTAGGAGGATTGTTTGTAGTTCTCCCTTTAGCAGCTGTCCACTGCTGTTTCCTAGTATGAATAGGGGTTGAAGAGGCGCTCTTCCTGGGTGATAACAATGCAGGCCAGCCGGTCGCATCACAGATTTCGGAGCTCTGGGCTCTGCCTGTTATCCGTCCTCCCAAATCCCATGGAAATGATTTACTCTTAGGCTTTGCACCCAGAGAGTTCCAGGGAGGACTACCACTTGTAGATTTATTACCCAGTACACAGCCCTCCTGTTCCTTGGAATCCTTGTAGCTGCTAACTAGCTGTGAGTTAGCATACCCTTTTCCATTATTTTGCAACACTGGTAAAGTGGTGTCATTCCCACGACATAGTCCATTCACTTCCACGTTAACTTCCAACGGTTGCATTTTCATTTCCAACACAGCCATCTTCTCTATAAGTTTGTGGAAGTCATCTGTAGAGAACGGAGGCATTTTGCTACCAACTAGCTTAAGCTAAATAGCATGCAGTAGCCTACCAGGCTTTAGCTGTTGCTAGGCCACGCTACTGTAAGACTGAGGTCGTCGTAAAAATGTTGAAATATGGCTGAAACCCTCCGTCTATTTACGAAGATTAACTGTCCCAGTGATAAGTTAATGTCCAGGAGCCGCTGCTCGAAGTTTTCAGAGAATAAGAATAGGAAAATCGGCATAAAAAGTAAGCAGAGGCAAGAGCAAGCAGAAAAGCATCTGCACTGTAAGAAAGATAAACAGACACACTTAGCAAAACTAAACATCAGGTCTGTAATCCATATTTTTTTTATAGACAGTGATTTTGATACTTACCTTGGTTGTTTCCGTACATTCTGAAACCTCAGATAAAGATTCCTAAAGCAAAACAGAAAACAAAAGCACAGTTAATTTAGGTAACACACATATATACAATCATTCTGTATTTCAGAACCTTACAGAGAATCCTCAGCTGAGTTTCGGAGGTGAACTTACTGTGTGCAGGAGAGCAGATCACACCGCCTCCACCTCCTTTTTATCTGCAGGCCACCTCACAGGGGGCAGAGCCAGAACACCCATCAGGACATTTCTGCTTTGTGAGCTAAATGGGTGTGATTGTGTAATCTTTAACATACAGTCAATAGGAACCATGTGCAGTCTGAGATATGGATTCCCACACCCAAACAAAAAACGATTTGAATTTGCAAGAAAAAAATCAGGTTTACAAATAATCTTTTAGTCCACTAGTTAGAGATATTTGACCCTTTGCAATCTCATAACACTTGAAATATTTAAATACATTTTAATCTTAAAATTGTGTTAATATAAGCTGAGTTTCTGCACATATCCCTTCTCGACAATCATATAGATGACTTTAATCAGGCAGAAAGAAATATAACATCAATTAATATTGTATTAATCCCTTGTTAGTACACTTATCAGACGTATCTATGTGTCAAAGATGAAATGGCATTATTAAGAGACAAAAGATGGTATGAATGAGCAAGTGATTACATCTAGGTTCATGTGAATGTAACAGGGTGAAGCTATTAGTAAAGTCAATGCCAAACATAGGTCGCTCAACACTCCTTGGGTACATAAAGGTAATATGAAAGCACAGTGAAAGATAACACACATAGTGTAATACGAAACCATGACGTCAAATGAAATGTAGAGTTAAGAGGCAGGTAAGAAATACTAGCTTTAATGATGGACAGAAAAGGTACACTGTGGGGGGGGGGTAGATCAGTCATACAGTATCATCAGAGGTGGAAAACATACTTCCTAACAAGTAAACAAGTACTAGCTGGATCTGTAAAATGTTTTTTGTTTTTCTATTATTTGAGCAATTACCAAAATGGCTGCCAATCAATTTTCTGTAAACCCACTGTACATAGATTGTATTGTGTGGGAGACTGCCTGATGACGTAGGAGTATTATGTTTAATGTTTGCATGTCAGTTTTATTTTTAGATTTATCTTGCAATATTATTTTCAACACTTGGTGGCGGTGATTAGATGCACAGGGATATAGAAATAGAACTTCAGCCTCTTGAGGCCAGAATGATTATTACAACAACAAACAATTTAAATTATCCTGACAAAAAAAACGATTCAAACAACTTTATATCTTAAATAATAATCCAAACTCTACCCAATTCTTTAAATGTTCTTTCCAAAAAAGGATTAAACTCTGAGACATAGGCACATTCTTCAGTTTTTTTATTAGTTATGTTACAACTCTTAAAATGTAAAATGCCTTGCGACCCCATGAAGCCCTGCAGACCCCCGAGTTGGGGGCCAGAGCTTCAGGTAGCAGGATGAAGGTTTCCAGCTGTTTCTTCTTGCATCTTCATCTAGTTGGAGTTGCTGCCCGAGGACTACATTAGGAAAAATTGTAATTTAATGTATGAATTCATCAATAAATGATACAAACATAATACTGCAAAGAAACGGATAAAGTTGGTAAAGTAAATGAATTCAGTGTTGTTAGTGTGTCTTTGAATTATGAATATATTTCTAGATTTAGGAATCCATTTTGAAAAGGACCTTTCATGTTCTATTCAATAACTTCTTTCTGGTTTACTATTTGTGATTTGTGTTTGGGCCACAATTAACATTACACTTGAATCGTAAGCAAACCGTGTCTCTGTAGAGGCAAAGGGAGCTCTAAAGACATATATTTTCTGAGTTCATAACAGGTCTAATTGTACACATTGATCCATTGTTAATCTAACATATACAGAGTGTAGCCATATTTGTGGCATTTAAATGCTCAATTTAGTGGTGGAAGCCATTTTAGACTGACTTTGATTGACAGCAGAATATTGACCCAAATCTGACTCCATACAAGACCACTGGGGGCGCAAGACATGGAGCTCTTGAGTCGGGTCAGCGACAGGTACCAGCCAGGTGCCGACCATGGTGAGGGTGCGTCGGTTAACAACAGGTTAACAGAAATACAGTGACTTTTCTTAAAATAAAAAGTCCAAGAATTCCAAGCTCTGATTTCACTTTATTATTTAGTTTGATAAAAAGCATTACAATCAGTGAACAAGTCAGTTTTGACAAAAGCTTGTTGACGTTTGTGAGACATAAATGCTTATGAGTTACAAAGAACTTTTCAATTTGAAGATTTGCAGGTGGTAACTTGTGTTGTTTTTCTCCTGCCCAGGAACGTTCATCTAGTCAGAGTCACTGCTGCTGGAGTCGCTGCTGCTGCTGCAGGAGCTGCTGGAGGACTGCAGCAGGAGAACAGGAAAAAAATTTAAATCAACAATTCAAACAGCAATGCTTATCATTACATTTCTGAGAAAAGAGTTGGACGGGGTTTTTCTCTTGGAAAGGATGTTTCAGAAGAGAGCACGTTTCATTTTATATTGTTATCTCCTGGGCTTATGACACAGGTGAAAATAAATGTCTTGCTAGGATACCTTTTCTAAGTTGCGTAAATCTAATTCTAATGTGAAGATTTATTTATTTTTATAAGGAGAATTTCTGCATGCACTCTAAACAGAATGAATACTGTGAGTTAAAAAGTTATGTAATATTAGTAACAAAAACAAATGAGAGTGAAACATTTCGATCAGACTTGGATGACTGTATTTCTTCTCTCATTTGCTTCCATACCCTTTCCTACAGCTGGATTTATAAGCTAACCTTAACATTGTGTTTTGGGCCATTGGAGCAGGATTGCACCTGTCGGCCACCATAAGATTTACCTGAACATCTCTTTACCACAAAAATGTGTTATAAACTGCGCATTGTGTTGATGGTTGCAGGGAAATTAATAACTAATAATCGGATGCATAATCATCCCAAAACATTTTAATGGCTACAAAAACTATGTTTACCGAAAGGAACACGTGACTGCCTGAGGTTAGGAAGGGATAAGCATCCCTGAGCATTAGGTTATTTTCCACTGCAGGGCCTCGCTTGGCTTAGTACGGTATGGCTAGGCCTCGTTAGGCCAGGCTCACTTTATGCTGCGTTTCCATTACAGTTTAGGAACTGGGCCAGTATCTATAGTAACGCAGTGTAGGCGGAGCCGTGACGTCATCTTCAATGCGAAATACAAAACCAACATCAGCCGTTAGCTGTTAGCCCTCAGAGCTCACAGCTCCTCATATCTGTTCAGAAACTATACAAACGTTAAACAAGTACAAACCACAGACTGTCTGTGAATAAAAATACAGTGAATACAGTCGCTGGTTTATTTATGTCTGTCTAGGCCGTTGTTGTGAGTGTGGACGGTCGGAGCGTATACTGCGTTAGCTTAGCCAATCTCCATTCAGTAAACACACATTTTAAAAGGTTTTTCGCCTGCCGTCTGTCTGCAGACTTGTCAAAGCATTAATTCATGGTTTTTACTAACCGGTATCAGTATGTTGTTACTTCGGCATCATTTTGAAACGTGTATTACAATTGAATCACGGTAAAATATGTTCATTTTGTTGTAGTTGCCAGCGATTCTCCCACTAGTTTAGCATACTCAGCCCGGTTGTTGGCCCGGAAAGAACCTCGATTTTGGAGAGCCAGAAAAACTGTGAAAAAGTACCCGCTAGCAACCAAAAACGGGCCGGGCACGCAGGCCCTGGGGCTGATAGGTTTTGTAGGCCCCCTATTTAAACAACAAATCAAAGTCATTTATAGCCTCGGCAGGCTCTGTGATCGCACTTCTCCACTCTGCTCTACGTGCGCCTGGTCCTCTCCTCCAGATGAGTGACGTATCGGACCTCCTTCGTGTATTTGTCTGGTTGCCGTTGGCTCCCCTCCACGTAGCAAGTCCTCGTTGTCCTCTCCATCTCCTCCAACATCCCTCCTGTCTGTTTTTCCTCTCCCGCTACTCCATCGCTATCAGAACCAGACGGCCTACTTGGCTCCGAGGCCCCACGGCCGGCACCGCTACTGCTCGGTACAGAACTCATCTATCCTCCTTCCTCCTCATCCTGGCCTACAGGTTTAAAACAACCTGTAAGCTTCGGCATTTTTTGTAATAGCTGCTTGTCTCGAAACTCCTTTTCCCTCAACAATTTCCTTTCCCGAGCGCCACTCTCAAATTTTTTCTTCTCAAACTTTTTCTCCTAAACAACCTTCATCTGTCAATCAATCACTCGCAATTTGAATAAGTCACATGTGAAACATATTCTCATTCTGATTCGCTGTGAAGTGGTGCCCAGGAGGGAAGATATTTTCGTTTGGATTGCTGGTCTGGGGGAAGCTCACAAGTGTGTGTGTGTGTATACGTGTGTGTTTGTGTTTGTTTCCCGGGGAAAACACCCACGAGAAACACCGGCTGTTGTTATGCCTGCTGTGACGTCAAGTTACTCCGTTCTCCGCTTGTAATTATGCCGTTACAAGCTTCAACGTTGTATTTATCATCTGAATTTGCCGAAACAAGTTTAATGTTCTGAAAGCCAAGACTTTGTTTATTTGAAACCAGATGAAAACAAACTGTAATGGACCCTGCCGTGTTATCTATGATTACTATACCCCTTACATTCATAATTTCCGCCGGAGGGAGGGGGAGTGAGTGGCGAGTGAGAGCTGTCATCTTCCCTTTACAATCTTCAAACATGTATTTATCGTGTGATTTTGGAAATAAAAGTTTCATATTCTGAAAGCCAAGACTTTGTTTATTTAAATGTTTTTTAAAAACATCCGAAATAAAAAACTTTTTTCTTAAATTTTTTTTAAAAACTTTTTTATTGGCTCATGATAGGCCCCAGATCTCCGTAGGCCCCTGGGCTTCAGCCCAGGTCAGCCCGTGCATTAAGGCGGCCCTGCGGGCACGGCATGGCACACTTAAACCGCGCTCCGCGCTGTAGTGGAAATGCGCCATAAAAATCCCATGTATTATTATTATATGAGTTATTGATACCTGAGCAAGGATTTTTACTGTTTTTAAATGTGAGCGTATTCTATTTCGTTTGTATGTCAAGTGAAACCAAATCTCAAGGTAATTTGTAATGCTAGTTTCCTGTAAATGGCAATCAATTATAAAATAATTTATCCATACTATATCATTCCGGCTTTCATTAAATTGGATTACACAAACATCTTTTATCATGTTTCTCTGAATTCTGAAAAAAATTACATTCTGTGGAAAAAACTGCACTGTTGAGTCTTACCCCGTGACATTCCTTTCCCTTCTTGTGACATTTGATATGCTTGCGTCCACGCTTGGGCTTGCACCTGCGCTTCACTCCATGGCATCCACTTTGTCCATGTCCATGGCCTTGACCACATTGTCCTTGTCCATGGCCTTGACCACATTGTCCTTGTCCATGGCCTTGACCACATTGTCCTTGTCCATGTCCATGACCGTGACCATGACCATGTCCATGTCCATGACCACCATGGCCGTGACCATGTCCATGACCACCATGGCCGTGACCACCATGGCCTCCTCTTCCACAGTGTCCCCCTGGTATTGAAATTAAAAAATCAATATTTAGTAAATGTGATGCACATCCAATGCATTTGTTACAAAGGGATGAGAATAGACCAAAACAGTTATTTACCGTGGTGTCCAGACATTTTCCACAGATCCCCTGTACAAAAAGATAAAACAATTCACACACCAAATTAAAATCAAACACCTGAGATTCAAATGGGATTGCAACTGTAAGGCGTGTTGAGGTGTGACAATGCAAAATTACTAAAAATATTTAATGTATGTATTTATATATGCATAGATGATCAGTAAAGGTTCACTTACTGTGTACTGGGCAGGAGATCCTCAGCCTCACTGTGAGCTGCTGCTCCTTTTAAATGTAGCAAAACCTGAAGGTGAGCGGTCCGTCAGGCCGGGGCGGTCCCTGCTCTCTTATCAGATACTATTTGTTTTGCAAGGGTACACTGTGTGTCAGTGTCAATCACAAATAGCTACACAATAGGAATACCAGCTGAATCATCACAAAAGACAGCGTGTTCTTTCTGTCTCACGGTTGGATGGAATGTTAAAGCTTCGAGGTACCTAACATACCAAACAAACCCAAATTGTGTAACCAATGTGTTTGTTTGGAATTATTTTGTCATACACTCCGGGTGTTGAGTCAGTGTTTGACAGACAGTGTGATGTTATCAGGAGATAAGACTTTCTGAAGAGTGATGACATACTTTTAGTTTCAGCTGTCAGTTTTCTTTGCATGCCTAAACGCAACAAATACCCCACACTCAACAATGAAATACTAGGCTGGTAGTCAGGACAACAACATGAGCCATATTGACTTAATGGAGTAGGGTTTCTGCTTTTGTTAGTTTTATGTACTCTTATGCAAAATAGTCTGGAAAATCAAGTCCTATGATTTTTAAAGAAAATTGCAAGTCAGTTCGGTATGATGCATTTATGAGCTTAATCGCCGTCTTCCAATTTAACTGTTGTTTGGCTCTCCGAGTCTATATTGGATACATAGTGAAGGGGATATAAGTTAAATCCAGTCTTATACACAGGTCCTGCCCTCTCTTAGTATTGATTTGGCTCATGGTAAGAATTAAACTGTTGTTGGTTGTTACGGTTCTCCTCCTACCAAAGACATGTTATCCCCTTTAATGCAAATATTATCTTGATTGCACTAATTGAGTTTAATAAGATATCAGGATTGTTCCGGATGGTAGTGTTCTTAGTTATTTGGTGAAATTATTTATCAGGCTGTCAAAAATGTAGCTATTTTATGGTTTTTGAAACATGGATGGTTTGTAATGGTGAAGTGGTTGAAGAATAGTAAGTCTGAAATATGGATGTCTTGCATATTGTTTCCAATAAAGCTGTTAAGGAATTGTTGGGTTGATTGGGATCCATCTATATGTGGAAGTATTGGAGTCGTTGGGCAAGTAATGGCGAGTTTGGTACCTTTTCATTTTTTATTAAGGGGATCGTTTTTCGATTCTAAGTTTGTTCTGTTTGGCTTTGAGGGTTGGGGCTGGTCAAAAGACCTCATGAAAGAACAACAAAGAAGTGAGGATACCCGGCCCGGAGGAAGCCCGGGGTCCCCTTCTGGAGCCAGGCCCAGAAGGAGGACTCGTCAGCGAGCGTCTGGTGGCCGGGATTGCCACGGAGCAACACCTCCGCTTCTCCGTCCCGCGGGCCCACCACCTACGGGAAACAACGATGGGGTCGGGTGCGCTGCCAGAAGGGTGGCAGTGAAAGCAGAGGGTCTCGACGGACCAGACCCGGGTGACAGAAGCTGGCTTTGGGGACGTGGAACGTCATCTCTCTGGGGGGGAAGGAGCCGGAGCTTGTGCGGGAGGTGGAGCGTTACCAGCTGGATCTGGTTGGGCTCACCTCTACGCACAGCGTCGGCTCTGGAACCTTACTTCTGGATAGGGGTTGGACTCTATTCTTCTCCGGAGTTGCTCAAGGTGTGAGGTGCCGGGCGGGTGTGGGGATACTCACAAATCCCCGGTTGGGTACCCCAGTTTACCCCAGTGGACGAGAGGGTCGCCTCCCTACTGAAGGGGACTCTTTAATCTTGCTGGGAGACTTCAACGCACATGTGGGCAATGATGGAGACACTTGGAGGGGCGTGATTGGGAGGAACGGCCCCCCTGATCTGAACCGGAGTGGTGGTTTGTTACTGGACTTCTGTGCTTGTCATGGATTGGCCATAACAAACACCATGTTCGAACATAAGGATGCTCATAAGTGTACGTGGTACCAGAGCACCCAAGGCAGAAGGTCCATGATCGATTTCGTTATGGTATCATCGGACTTGAGGCCGTATGTTTTGGACACTCGGGTAAAGAGAGGGGCGGAGTTGTCAACTGATCACCATCTGGTGGTGAGTTGGGTCGAGTGGCGGGGGAAGCCTCTGGATAGACCTGGTAAGCCCAAACGTGTAGTTCGGGTGAACTGGGAACGTCTGGAGGAGGCCCAAGTTCAGGAGGCCTTCAACTCACACCTCCGGCGGAGCTTTTCGGGCATTCCTGTGGAGGTTGGGGACATTGAACCAGAGTGGTCGGTGTTCAAAGCCTCTATTGCCGAAGCCGCGGCGGAAAGCTGTGGTCTCAAGGTCTTAGGTGCCTCAAGGGGCGGTAACCCTCAAACCTCCTGGTGGACACCGATGGTCAGGGAAGCCGTCCGACTGAAGAAGGAGGACTTCAGGGATTTGTTATCCCGGGGGACTCCCGACAGCAGCCGTGGCCGAGGCAAAGCAGCGGGTGTGGGAGAAGTTCGGAGAAGACATGGGAAAGGACTTTCGGGTGGCACCAAAGTTGTTCTGGAAAACGGTCCGACACCTCAGGAGGGGGAAGCAGGGAACCATCCAAGCTCTGTACAGTAAGGATGGGACGTTGTTGACCTCAACTGAAGGAGTGTTAGGGCGTTGGAAGGAACACTTTGAGGAACTCCTGAACCCGACAACTCCGCCCTCTATGTTAGAGGCAGAGCTGGAGTATGACGGGGGATCAACACCATCTCCCGGGGGGAAGGTCACTGAGGTCGTCAAACAACTCCACAGTGGCAAAGCCCCGGGGGTGGATGAGATCCGCCCAGAAATGCTGAAGGCTCTGGGTGTTGAGGGACTGTCATGGTTGACACGTCTCATCAACGTTGCGTGGAAGTCGGAAACAGTACCGAAGGAGTGGCAGACCGGGGTGGTGGTTCCCCTTTTCAAAAAGGGGGATCAGAGGGTGTGTGCCAATTACAGAGGCATCACACTACTCAGCCTCCCCGGGAAAGTTTACTCTAAGGTACTCGAAAGGAGGGTCAGGCCGATTGTCGAACCTCAGATTGAGGAGGAACAATGCGGATTCCGTCCTGGTCGTGGAACGATGGATCAGCTTTTTACTCTCGCAAGGATCCTGGAGGGGGCCTGGGAGTACGCTTATCCGTTCTACATGTGTTTTGTAGACTTGGAGAAGGCGTATGACCGAGTTCCCAGGGAGTTACTGTGGGAGGTGCTGCGGGAGTATGGGGTGAGGGGGTCTCTACTCAGGGCCATCCAATCTCTGTACTCCCAAAGCGAGAGCTGTGTCCGGGTCCTCGGCAGTAAGTCGGACCCATTTCCGGTGAGGGTTGGCCTCCGCCAGGGCTGCGCTTTGTCACCAATCCTGTTTGTAATATACATGGATCGGATTTTGAGGCGTAGTCGTGGGGGAGGGTGTCTGCAGTTCGGTGGACTAAGGATTGCACCACTGCTTTTTGCAGATGATGTGGTTCTAATGGCTTCATCGGTCTGCGACCTTCAGCACTCACTGAATCGGTTCGCAACCGAGTGTGAAGCGGCTGGGATGAGGATCAGCCCCTCCAAATCTGAGGCCATGGTTCTCAGCAGGAAACCGATGGACTGTCCATTCCTAGTAGGGAATGAGTCCTTACCCCAAGTGAAGGAGTTCAAGTATCTCGGGGTCTTGTTCTCGAGTGAGGGAACAATGGAGCGTGAGATGGGCCGGAGAATCGGAGCAGCGGGAGCGGTACTGCAGTCGCTTTACCGCACCGTTGTGACAAAAAGGGAGCTGAGCCAGAAGGCAAAGCTCTCTGTCTACCGGGCCATTTTCGTTCCTACCCTCACCTATGGTCATGAAGGATGGGTCATGACCGAAAGAACGAGATTGCGGATACAAGCGGTCGAGATGGGTTTTCTCCGCAGGGTGGCTGGTGTCTCCCTTAGGGATAAGGTGAGAAGTTCGGTCATCCGGGAGGGACTCGGAGTTGAACTGCTCCTCCTTCGCGTCGAAAGGAGCCAGTTGAGGTGGTTCGGGCACCTAGTTAGGATGCCACCTGGGCGCCTCCCTAGGGAGGTGTTCCAGGCACGTCCAGCTGGGAAGAGACCAAGGGGTAGACCTAGGACCAGGTGGAGGGATTATATATCTTCGCTGGTCTGGGAGCGCCTTGGGATCCCCCAGTCAGAGCTGGTTGATGTGGCCAGGGAAAGGAACGTTTGGGGCTCTCTGCTGGAACTGCTGGAACTGCTACCCCCGCGACCCGACCACAGATAAGCGGGAGAAGATGGATGGATGGATGGATGGTTGGGGCTGGATCAGGATCATTGACAATCATTTCTTTATCACAAGTTATATGGTTGATTTAAGTGAAGCATTTCTGGCTATGATAGATATTGGTCATCCAATGTTGAAGGAAGTTGAAAGTGGAAAGAAGTTGATACCCATATTTTATATGAACCTTAATCTGGTATAGGGAAATGTTTATTCTAAAATATGTAAAAGTTTGAAGAGAGAGAGGTGGTGTTTGTACTGCCACAGCCCAGCTAATAATACTGAGTGGGATAATGATGGATTTGATAAGCCTTCATGAGTTGGATGGATTTGGGTAATGAAGAGAAGAGATTTATAGGTGAAGTGGAAGGTTGTCTGCATAAAGGATGTTTTGTTTAGATTCCTGTGGATTAATTGGTGAATGGTATGAAATCCTCACCCATTGGATACATTCAAAGAAACCACAAACTGCTAACTGAAGCCATGTCTGTAATCAGTGGCTGCAGAGCACTCTTTTCCGCGAAACAGCCTCCTGGTGGCTGTGAGTGAAAGCCTATGAAACGTTTTCTCATTCCCGTCAGGTTGAACATATTCTACTACTCTACTATAAAACAGATAAAGACTGCGGCTGTTATGTTAATACAAGTCAGTGAAGCTAGAACGTATACTTCTTCTCCCTCCCTCTGGTCAGAGACTCACTGTCACCACTAGAGGAACCAGGTATTACGAGATATGATGGGCTAAATCATTATCATGCCAATTTCAGTAGATGTCATGCAACACAACATCTATAAGAATTTGGTTGATAATGATAGTTCATTTGTTTTATGTTTGAACTTTTTTATGTTTTAAAGGTTGGCATATCCTACACCATGTACCTTGTATTATTGAAGAGCCACAGATAGGCTTAAAAGAGGTTCAGAAAGTCACACTTTCACTCAGCTGACAAACATTGGAAATCAACTGATCCACTCTGTGCTATCAAATGTGTAATCCAGTAGAGGACATA